ACCGACGCCGCAGAGGGAGGACCACGTGAGGACACCGGGAGAAGACGGCCACCTGCAAGCCAAGGGGAGAGGCCTCAGGGGAAACCAGACCTGCTGATACCATTGGTCTGGGATTTCTAGCCTTCAGAATTGTGAGCACATAAATTTCTGTTAAGCCACCCAGTGTATGGTATCTGCTGTGGCAGCCGTGGCAAGCTAGCCCGCCCCTCTCCTTGTACACACGGAGCTCACAGTGCCCACCTGCTTCACTTCCTGCGTGTCCAAGAAGTCCATAAAAGCTCCTGCTTCATTTTACTGTTTTATAGATATAGATTATTTTTGCTGTATAGCTGTTGCATAATTATTTGACTACTCTCCTATTGATGAACATTTGGATTGTTTCCAATATTTTACTAATAAAAATAACTGTAATAAATAAGTAATTTTGTACATAAATAATTCTACACATGGATAAGTATATCTATAGGATCAATTTCTAAAAGTGGTATCACTAGGTATAAGGACATGTGCAGTAAAATTTTGATTGTCTTTGCAAAATTGTCCCTTCTGGAAGACATACAGATTTACACTTCTGCTGGACAGAATGAGAGTGCTTCATTCCCACTTCTCCCACAGAGAATTAGTTATCAAACCTTTTGATTTTTACCAGTCTGGTGGGTACAACATTGTGCCTTCAGAAATATTATTTTGCATTTCTCTCATTATGAGTGATGTTAAATATCTTTTCATAAATTTAAAAGATATTTGTATTTCATTTTTTTGTTAAGCTTAGTTTTCTACTGGGTTTTTCATCTTTTGCTTATTGTAGATATTCTTTATTTGTTGGGAAAATTAGTCATTTTCAGTGATAACGAGTTCTAAACATTTGTATTGTTCTCTTTACATTGCTTCTGAGGAAGCCACAGAGACAATTTTGTTTAGTGTTATCAAATTTATCAGTCCCTTTTTAAACAGTACAATGACTTTGACACTAGCTACTCAGAGATGGGTCACACTCCACAGGTCAAACTTCAAAGCTGAAGTGAGAGCCACCAGCTGCAAAGTCACTGGTCCCCTGGCCACCCTTACTTCTGACTAACTGGGTACAAGTTGGGGGTTCCCACAACACTCTCAAGTTCAATAATTCAGTAGGATGACTAAGAGGGCTCAGGAAAGACCTACACGGTTTTTTTTTTAAATTTCATTTTTATTATAGCAAAACAGTCACAATCAGAACCAACGAAAAGAAGAGATGCACAGGGTGAGGTCTGGGAGGATCCGAAATGTGAAGTTCTGGTGTCCCCTCCTGCAGGGTCAGGGCCCAGCACGGTCTCAGCACATCCACCTGTAAGGATATGCAGAGTACTGCAATTAGTGATTGGCACATGGCCTTCGATGTCCAGAGTTTTTATTGGGTTTCATTAGTTGGGCATGATTGATGAAAACATTGGTCATGTGTTAAACTCCATCTCCAGGTCCCTGGAGGTCAGGCTGACATCACTTGACCCAAAGCTCCAACCTTCCAATCGCATACTTGGTCTCTCTGTCATGGCCAGCCCTGTCCTGAGCCATCTCCTCAGTATAAACTGCCAGGGCCCGCCATGAATAACAAAGACTCTCCTACCACCCAGGAAACCTGAGTGATTTAGAAGTTACCTCCCAAGAACCAGAAGCAAAGGCCAGCAAATTCCTTATTACACAGGATGCAGACTCTGGATTTTGTGTTTTATGTGGAAAGTTCTTCCTTTTTCTAAGATTATTACAAAAATGAATTTCCCATGATTTCCTAGTACCTGAATGATTCCCTTTTTTTCCAACATAAAAATATGATTATGGATTCAACTTTTTTCCTTGATAATTGTCCCCTAACCAATTATTGAATAAACTATTTTTCTCCTACCAATTGAAATGCCAACCTTATCACATATTGTATTCCTATATGTATATGGATCTATTTCTAAACTTTATAATGTTTACTATTTATCTGCTTTTATGTTTATACTGCATTGTTTTAATTGTTATAATTTATTATTTCAAGTGAGCCATAATAGTAAACTTTTTAAACTTTAAAAAACATTATTTTGGAACTAGATTTAAAATCAAATACCAGTTAGAAGCAAGACACAAATAAAGCTGTCAGATGAGTAGACAGCATCCTACTGATCTGGCTTGTGCGCTGGTTAGCAGCTTGGAGGAGGAATTGCTTCCAGTGAATTCCCTTACTTTATACGCCAGAACTGAAGGGAACACACAGATCTGTGCTCCATTCATTTATCTTTTCTAAGAGTTACTCAGAATCAAATGGAAATTTTTCACTGCACTGGAAATAGCCCAGCCAACTCCTCAAACTCAACAAGAACATTTTAGGTGTTTGTCCTTCTCCGTGGTCAGCTGTTGACTGAGTTGGGCACATGCTCTCCTCAGTGACCACCTCCTGTCCATCCTGACCCACAGGGAAGTCACTCACTTTCTCTCAGCCGAATCAAATGGGCCTCCCTCTGCCCTTGACCAAGAAGAATCTAAGTCTGCCAGTTTAACCCGCGTCCAGTGTCAGCAGAATCTAGTTCTTTGGTTGCCGACTCTGGGAGGAATTATTATCTTCATACTGGACTATTCCTTCAGATTGAGCAAAGAACACTTGTGGAATAGACCACATATTTGTGGCTCTCGCAGCTTAAAATGTAGCCTTGTAAGTTTGTCTGTGAACAGAGTGTGAATTTCAGACCCTGCCTCAGCAGTACTTGGTGGGGGGGAGCTTTAGGAGTTATACATGAGGCCCCATTTCCCCCAATACCAGTGTCAAATGCTTGCTTTATCTTATATTTCCATCTTATTGAATTTTTTATATTCATTAATATTTAAAGGCCATGAAATTTGTTCTTCAACAGAAAAGTATGGTAGTTTTATTTATGTGTGCATGTATTTATTTATATCAGACGAGGGTCAGGTTCATTCACTGCCGAGTGCCTGCTGAAAGTCACGTGCTGGAGACAGAGGAACAGTAAGACAGACGGGACTGCAGGCTTCACAAAGCTTGGGATCGACTGGGGTAGGCTGATGGGGACTCGGCATGCAGAATACAATCTCTATAGTGTTTTACGGGAAGAACTGAGTTGGCAGAACTCAGATTGTAAGTGAACCCATGAGAACATATAAACGTTTGATGTTTTTATTTCTCACTCGGTTCCAGAAAGGATTTGAGGTGGCTTGGAATTTTAATTGACATAAAAAACACCCAGGAAGACAGTATATTCACAGCTAAAAATAGCAAAAAAATGCTGTCTTACATTAAATTAGCAATAGTGGCTATTGTACATTTGAACACCCATTTTACTGTGACAGAATATGTAAATATGGAGGGTTTTTGCTAGCTCAGGGATTGAGAAGCTAGAGAACAAATACGCCAATGTCCTTGGCTTATAAATTCAAAAGGAAAGGCCCAGGTGAGCTGTAGAAAGAGTGGAAAGGAGAAAAGTTGAGTGGCGTGGACATTGTTGTTGCACTTGCTGGTGTGCCCTCCTCTGGGCCGAGGTACCCATCTCCTGGCAGCTGTGAGCAGCAGGTGTTTTCAGCCGGGTCCCTCACTGGAAACTTCCCTTAGCCACGGGGAGCTGCCTCCCTCAAGATTAGCCACCAACTCCTGCCCCCAAGAAGAGGCTTGTGGCCAACGACTGGCTGATATGAGGAGACAAAAGCCCAGCCTTCTTGTCTCAGTTCGGCTAACTCTGAAGGGCCACCCAGCTGCCCTCGGGACAGGCTGGAGCTGCAGTTTCCAACACATGGAGGCTCAGCTTCTCTTTCAGTCCCTAGACTTGTCTTTCTCATTTCTGGGGGTTAGTGCTAGGGTGACAGGGGGAGAGAGAGATATCTGTGCCAAGGCCAAGGACCTGCCCAGGGCTCAAGGCAGGATGAGACCCATCATCAGAAACCATGGCGTGGGCAGTTGAGGACACAGCTGCACCTCACGGAGGGTGTCACAGGCAGAATGCTGAGAATCCCTCTCCCCTCCAATTCCTGGTCCCTGGGGTACATGCACCCCAGAGAAATCCCAGTTACTGGAGAAGTAACTCTAGTCCCAGTAACTGGAGAAGTCCCAGTTACTCAATCAAATACCCATCTCTATTGCTTGATCTTATTTTATACCTATCTGCTGTGATTGCATTCGGCAGATGCAATTAAGTTTCCACATCAGTTGGTACAAAAATAGGGAGATTATCTAGGGATGGGGAGCTAACCTAGTCACGTGAGCCCTTTAAAAGCAGAGTTTTCTCCATCTGGCTACAGATAAGGGAGTTAGAATTTGAAGCCCAGGAGGATTTGACTTGCCTTTGGCTTGAAGATGGATGGGGCCACGTGGGAGGATGCCGGTGCTCTCTAGATGCTGCGAGCAGCTCCCAGCTAACAGCCAGCCAGGACACCAGGACCTCAGCCCCACAACCAAAGGGGATTTAATTCTACCAACAACAAGAATGAGCTTGGAAGTGGATGTTTTCCTAGAGCCTCCAGAGGAGAAATTTGCCTCCTAAGCAGGGAACCCAGCCGTGCCATGCAGGATTTCTGACATATAGTATAGAACTGGGTGCTAATAAATGAGTGTTCTTTCAGGCTGCTAAGTTTATGGTAGTTTGCTACACAATGGAAAATTACCGTGGAGGGGAAAATGAAATAAACAGGGCTCTGATAAGCTCCTCCCCACTGACAGGAACTGCATTTTAGTGGATCCATTTGATCATGTCAGCTTCAGGGAGAAAGGGGGAGATGTGTTCTGAATGTGACTAAAATTAAAGGCTCACTGCATTTGATTAAATTTAACTGAGACTAGATTGAGTTTTCAACAAGAGACAGAATGAGGGACTCAAGGTAAAAATTAATAAAATACAGTTACATTTTTACACTGTGACTCTGTGATGTATGAACTTTATACTTACTGTTATTTTCACTTAGTTGCTGAAAGTGTTTAAAATTATCCTTATTCTACAACTTCCACAGGACAATGACACATTTATTTTGTTTTGTTGCAGATGATTCACATGCATTTTCCCCTGCACCTGGACCTTCACTGGGACATGGATTGAAAGACTCTTAGGGAAACATCTACCAACTGCAACACATAACACTTAGGTGGATCCTAATTCAATCTGTCAAGGAAAAAATTATGAGATAATGGGAAAATTTGAACCTGGTTAAATATTTTATAATGTTAAGGAATTGTTAATTGTCAAAGGTACGATTTTATATATTAATAAAAATATATATGTTTATATTATAATATATAGTATATTTTATATATTTATATTATAATATGTATTTTATTTGTAAACCAAACTCCTGGACTCCAGTGATCCTCCTGCCTCAGCCTCCAGGATAGCTGGGACAGACAGGCACACACTGTCTGCCTGGCTAATTTTTATACTTTTTCTAGAGACCAGGTCTCACTATGTTGCCCAGGCTGGCCTCAAATTCCTGGCCTCAAGAATTCCTCCCACCTCAGCCTCCCAAAGTGCTGGTTGTGAGCCACCGCACCCACATGTACTCTTTTTAAATTTTATATATTTTTAAATTTTCATTAAAAAATAAAAAAGCCCACTTTGGTTCCTTTCTGGTTCTGAGACTGAAGCCTCAGCCAGGCCGTGCTCTGCTGGGCACCAGAGCACCCGCAGGCCCAACTCGCCAGGCAGGTGCCTTCCCAGCTCCTTCACCCCCTCAGGGTTTCTTGGCAAAATCCCCACTGCCCATCTTTTATATCATCCCTCGCTTCTATTTCTGAGCTCCGTTTCATGCTTTTTCTAATTATTCCCAAGAAAGAAGAAACTTGAAATTCACATATGTTGCAACTGAAAAATCTTGTTGCCGAAAGGGCGTACAGAAATAGCCGAGGAGTATAATTCTTCCCGAGGAAAGCAGCTGGGGAAGGACTTCCGCCTTATTTTTCTTTAAAATATGGTTTGCGCTCCATAGGTCTGAGTAAAGCACAGTGAGCCACATTTAGTTTTCCTGTTAATTGCACTTGAGCTGAGAAACAGAAGTAAAAAGCACTTTCTGAAATAAAAAGTACGTGGTGGCTAATGCCTGTAGTCCTAGCACAGTGGGAGGCCAAGGCTGGAGAATCACTTGAGGCCAGGCATTCAAGATGAGCCTTGAGCAAGAGCAAGACCCTGTCTGCACTAAAAGTAGAAAAATTAGCCAGGCATCATGGCACGTGCCTGTGGTCCCAGCTACTCAGGAAGCTGAGGAAGGAGGATCACTTGAGCCCAGGAGTTTGAGGTTGCTGTGAGCTAGGCTGACGCCACTGCACTCTACTCAGGGCAACAGAGTGAGACTCTGTCTGAAAATAAATACATAAATAAATAAAATAAAAAATAAGCCCCTTGAAAGTCTAAATTTAAATTATTAGATCCAATTAGACTGTGACAAAGGAAGACGATCATTATGGGGTTTATTCCAGTTGATTAATTGTGAAAATAGCTAGGATTTACCTAGAGAAGTCTAGATACTGAAATACCTGTGTGAAACAGAGTTCTTAGCAAGGAAGGGCTTCTCAGTGCAGCAAAAGTGCAAGAACTGTCTACTACAACAGCATCAAAAAGAATAAAATACTTGGGTATATATTTAACAAAAAAGTGCAAAATTTATGCTCTGAAAACTATAAAACATTGTTGAAAGAAATTAAATAAGACCTAAATAAATGGAAAGGCATCTCATGCTCAACAATCAGAGCACTTAATATTATTAAGATGGTAAAGTGATCTAGACCCGTGCGGTACAGTCTCCATCAGAATTCCAGCTGAGCTCTTTGCAGACATTGACAAGATTGTCCTAAAATTCATATGGAATACAAGGGACTCAGAATAGCCAAACACATCTTGAAAAAGAAGAACAAAGTTGGAGGACTCAATTTCTTGATAATCAAAACTTACTATAAAGTTACAGTAATCAAGAGAGTGTGTTATTGTCATAAGGATAGACATAAAGACCAATGGATAGAATTGAGAGTCCAGAAATAAACATTCAAATTAAGAGTCAATTGATATTCAACAAGGTGCCTAGACCATTCAAAGGGGAAAAAATAGTCTTTTCAACAAATGGTTCTGGGCCAACATGATATCCACATGTAAAAGAATGAAATTGGGTGCCTTACCTCACACCAATATATAAAAATTAACCCCAAATGGACCAAAGACCCAATTATAAAATGTAGAACTATAACACTGAGAGAAAAAAAATACAAATCTTCAAGACCTTGAATTAGTCAATAGTTTCTTATATACAAAGAACACCTGAGGGGGATTATAAGCAAGATGGCGGATGAAAAACACCACCCGATAGAGTATCTCTGCAGAAAGGACAGATTCTAGCAGAAGTTAGAAGAAAGAAGCAAGAAGACAAGCATACATCGGATGACGGTCAGAAGGAGGGGTACCTGAGACCACGGGAGATTCCACGGGAGGAGGTTGCAGAGGAGAACTGGAAGCAGAGACCTCCAGAGCAGCCTGGACACCAGCGGCAAGGGTAGGTAGGGCAGTTAACTTTCCCCTCCCTTGCATCTCAGGCTCCGGGTGGGCTCCCCAGCAGGTGGAGAGACCTGTGGACACCAGCCAAGAGATGGCCACCACCAGTGAGCGGTAAGCCTCTAGCGCATGTGGCACCAGGCTCCCAACTCCTGCCGGGCATTTCCCTATGCACAGACCTGAGCTGCACAGCAGGCGCCATATTGCCTCACTCTCCGCTCCCCTGACCCTATCCGTGGCTGCTGAAAGAGACAATATAGCCACCAACTGGAGGCACCTCCAGGGAACAGGGCCTTCCCTTTTGGGGCCCTACAGCTGACTGAGGGGAACTCAGATGGTGAGCTCCTACCCGCCAGCCCTCCCAGGTGCTGCTGGCACAGTGATCCCAGTAGAACAGGGCAGACCCTGAGGCTGAGAAACATAGACCCAGCTTGGGCTCCCCATGGGTGAATTGGGACTGGCATTCCTCTCCCTGGTGGGTATAGGAATTGAACCCTGGGGCCCAGAGATCAGACCTGCAGACCAGATCCCGTGCACCCAGGTCTCTCGTTGTCCGGGGCACAGAAGGGATATACGTGAATAGCCTACTGAGGTGTGTGTGCCTTCAGGGGCAGATCAGCATCCTAGAGGGCAACCCTCCTCCCAAAGGGAGGCCGGGCACCCAGCCCAGGTGGTGTTCCTGCACAGGGAACCTCCCAGCTGGAATCACAGCCAGGGGAGACCCAGTGGCATGGGGTCTGGCCTGCTGGCAGAGACCCAGGAGTAGCTGTGGGAGTTGGGGAGGGTGGAAAGAAGCAAGGCCCACTTCAGACTGCAGGTCTCAGATAGCCCCACCCCACACACAAACGTTCTGACTGAGCGGGACCATTCCAGCCCCTCCATGACAGCTTTTACTGGAAGCAGAGAACAGAACATTGACCCATGCTAACGGCATTGGTGGTGCCTGAGGGCAGGCTTACCCAACCCAGCTCCGCCCAGACTCACTCCCAGACCAGCCCTCACTGACAGGGAGAAAAAGACACACCTGGAAGTCCTAGGGCCCTACACACCACCTGAGGCACTAGAGTGCCACTCTAGTGGAACAAGAGCTGGTTACAGGACACAAAAACAACAGTGTAGCCTGTTCCTCCAAACAAGCACCACCTACTGACAGGGACAACATTCTGCACACCCTTTTCATGGCACCTACTGACTCATCATACAGGGAGTGGTTGAATCTCACCCACAGACACCACCTACTGGCTCAGAAACTAAACAAGGCATGTGAATACCCAAACGAAAACCTAAAGGAAAGAAGCAACAACTGATCGACATGGGAAGAAATCAGCGAAGGAACTCTGGAAATATGAAGAACCAAAAGGATGCCATACCCCAAAAGAGGAGCACCAGCCCCTTAGAAATGAACACCAACAAAAGTCAGGCAACCAAAATGACAGAAGAGGAATTTCGAATGTGGATAAGAAAATTCAACGACCTGCAAGAACAACTTGACAACCAACACAAAGAAACCACAAAAGCCTCCAGGACCTGGAACAACAGTTCACTAAAGAAATTGATACAATGAAGAAAAGTTTAACCGAATTCCTGGAAATGGAATCAATTCAGGGAACTACAAAATACAGTGGAAAGCCTCAAGAACAGGGTAGATCAAACAGAAGAGAGAATCTCAGAGATTGAAGATAACACCTTCCAATTAAATAAATCAGTCACAGAGATAGAGCAGAGAAACAAGAGAAAAGAGCAAAGCCTACAAGAGATGTGGGATTATGTGAAGAAACCTAATGTGAGGGTCATAGGGTTACCAGAAGGGGAAGAAGAAAACACTCAAGGGTTCCATAAGCTATTTGAAAATATAATAGAGGAAAATTTCCCAGGCCTTGCTAAAAATCTTGATGTACAAGTTGAAGAAGCTCAGAGGACCCCTGGGAGATTCAATGCAAACAGGAAGACATCACGACATGCCATCATCAGACTGACCAAAATATCAGCTAAAGAGGCCCTTCTAAGAGCTGTAAGACAAAAGAAGCAAGTAACATACAAGGAAAAGCCAATTCAAATAACACCAGACTTCTCCACTGAGACTTTACAAGCAAGGAGAGACTGGGGCCCCATTCTCATTCTTCTGAAAAAGAACAATGCCCAGCCTAGAATCTTATTCCCTGCAAAACTAAGTTTTGTATATGAAGGAGAAATCAAGACATTCTCAGATAAGCAAAGACTGAGGGAATTCACCAAGACAAGACCAGCCCGTCAAGAAGTACTCAAAACAGTGTTACCCACAGATCAGCACAATAAACACTCACGAATGTAAATCTACTCAAAGCTAAAGATCAAAGCCCAGATACCACAATGGCTCAAGAGAGAAAACAAAGTAACAGAGTTCAACCCAACATAATGAACAGAAATCTGCCTCACCTATCAGTTATCTCAATAAATGTGAATGGCTTGAACTCCCCACTCAGGAGACATAGGCTGGCCAAATGGATGAAAAAACACAAGCCAAGTATCTGCTGCCTTCAGGAAACACATCTATCCTGCAAGGATGCAATTAGACTAAAGATAAAGGGGTGCAGAACAATATTTCAAGCAAACGGAAGCCAAAAGAAAGCTGGCATGGCAGTGCTGATTACAGATAACTTAGTTTTTAAATCAATAAAAGTAATAAAAGACAAAGAAAGTCACTATATAATGGTTAAGGGTACAGCTCAAC